CACTTCAGGTAGTTCTAATGTGTATTACAGACTGAGAATTTCTGCCTTAACCTTTGACATCATCATCCCCTTCATCTTATCCATCAGCCATTTAGTAGGTGCCTACCATAATAAATGTAAAACAAATCTCAGCCCACTTTTTTTCCCCACTCACTGTCCTTGAAGTTGTCAAATTTCTGTCTGCCTTGGTTCTTACTGCTCTTCTATGGTCTCTCCATCTACTTTTCTTTTCTACTGCTGCTGTCCCCAAATTTGATTTTTCCTTTTCACATTAATAGGTATCTTTGATGTTTTATTTCTTCTCCACTCACTAATTTAAAGAGGCAAGAGAAGAAAGAGAATGTGATCACTGATTAAGATGAAAAAATCACAGAGAAGTAAAACTAATTCTCATTTCATTTTGTGTTGAAATATTGTCACCAAATGACCTGTTACTTTGGCTTCTGTCTCAGGAACATTAATTTGCTATGAGTAATGTTTTAGGTATTGAGGTGTGGGTGTATGCTGGTTTTAAGATCAGAGTTAAATGAAATTATTTTTTGAATTACTTATATTATCATATACTAAAATTTCAAAGCTGGAGGCCATTTTGTGATGGAAAGAGCCATGGACATGAAGTCAGAAGATGAATTTAATTTTTTTATTAAGCTCTAGAATGGTTTATCTACAAGACATTTAACTTCTCTGAGACTTAGTTTCTTACTTATAAAATGAGAATTTGCTCCACATAATAAGATCTTCTCTAGCTTCACAAAAACTAGGAAATACCAAGAAATCATATCATTTGTCTCTCATAAAAAAATTTATTAACTCAGTAAAAATAATTGTGGGTTTACAAATTAAGCTCTACTTGAAAATGCTATATCATCTGTTTCCCTAAAGCTGTTGAAATTTTAGTGACTCTTCAGAAGAGTGTTTATTGAAAGTAATGCTTTTAAATTGAAAAATAAATGTATTTATTATTTTTTAGATAATAAATACGAGCATGCTTATTGTAAAAAAAAATCAATTAATTTTTAAATTATTTGACTGAAGTGAAAGTCTCTCATTTCTCCCTCCCCTACTAATGACCCTCTTAAATTCATTTCCCAAAGATGGCCACTATTAGTATATTTGGTATATCTTTCTAGACATTTTGCTGTGGATATGCAAATTTAAGCATATATTTTAAAGCACGCACATAAAAATATGTTCATACTATAATATTATTTTGCAATTTGCTTTTTTCCCCATTTGACAATAAAACATTACATGTGGGGTCTATTTTTCTACATCAGCACAGATACTCTTCTAAGGTAATGGGAAAAAAAACTCTAAGGGCTTTTAAACCTGAGGATTAATTCTTTCATTAGAATTTAATATGGAGAAATAGGAAAAATCATTGTTATTGAAATTATTTACAGTATTACAAAATTCCATCTTTAACTGACAACCTTTAGTCCCATATCTTTATGACAGCAGCTGAGAGAGTGCCTGAGGGTTTTGAAGATTCTTCAAGGTGTGTCACATTATGGTTCACATCAGTGCACACTGATATACCTCCCTGGCAAGAACTGAAAGATACAGTTCTTAAATCCCCCAGTGACCCATTATTCACGGATCATTGACAAGATAGAATGTAATAGCTCCTGTCTTTTTACCAAGGTAAACTTCCCAGTGAACCTCTACTGTTCAAGCCCTACATCTTTTATCTAAAAAAAAAATTAATCTATGAAAAAGAAACTACATTAGGTAGATAATACAAGTGCCCTCATATTCTTTGTTTTAATATTTACTGCGTGAGAAAATATCTGTTAAAGTAGAGTAGCTGTTTAACCAAAAAGACAGACTGAAAAACTTTTTCCATATCCTACCTTTCAAATAGATCATCTGAAATTCAAGGGAAAATGAATTGCCCAAAATCCCAAATTTGGAACATCCAGTTAAACTAAGATATTTTGCCTATTTAAGGAGAGCATTAAAACAGTAATTCAACTAGTATTATGGTTCAGAACTTCACATTCCCCATTGTTTTGCTATGGTCTGAAAAGTCAGTGCTTCTTCACCCCAAAAGTAATTTCACTTGTGAACTCGGTCACAGTCATAAGCTCCCAGAGGGACTTACTCACAGGCCTCTGCACTGTTTACCATGTGGCATGGTGCTTGTGCAACATCGCATATTGACAGTGCTGTGTTGTGAATATCACTATGTGATGACAGGACATGGCCATGTTTTTATGTGACTCTGAGCCACATACATCTGAATTTCCTTATTTTATGTTAATTTTCTTGACTTCTATAAGGTTTCTGTCTCATTTCTATCTGCTTAGAGAGAGAGGTTAGAAATAGAAAAATGATGCTCTCATCAAGTTGATTAACACTTTATTTCCTACCCAGGCAAAAAGAAAAAGGAAAAGGAAAAAAAGGAAATAACCTGACAAACTATCTCCATAAAAATATAGGCAAGTGAATCAGACATTATGGCCTAAACTAGTGAAGTTGAAGATATATATCCCTTTACCTCAGAAATTCTAGGAGAGAAACTTAAGCACATGTGCAGAAAGAGATATGGGGGAGAACGTTGTTTGAAACTTTGTCTATAATAGAAAAACTCAAAAGAGCATAAATACCCACTAACAGGAAAATGGATAAATAAATCATGAATATTCACATAATGGAACAGTAGTTAAAATGGGTTAGCCTTACATGCATCAGCATGGATTAATCTCAAGCACATAATGTTGTATGAAAATAAAGCAAGTTGCAGAATGACAAGTACATGCCATTCATGTAAAGTTTGGAGAAATGATATATAGTTTCTATAAATATAGTGAAAGTATAGAATGTTCTTGGAAATAATAAACACCAAATTTTGGATAGCAGTTACATTTGGGGAGAAAGAAGAAAGAAATTGGGAACTGGCACACAGTGAGGGGCGACTCCAATTCTGCTTTTTTTTTAACTGAGCCTTTTTTTTTTTTTTTTGGTAGGGGGAGGTAATTAGGTTTATTTATTATTTATTTATTCTTAGAGGAAGTACTGGGGATTGAACCCAGGACCTCATGCATGCTAAGCATTCGCTCTACCACTGAGCTATACCCTCCTCCCTCCAATTCTATTTATTTCTTAAAATCTGAAGCAAATATAGAAATTAAGACTTGACAAAACTGAGTGATGCATGTAGGGGTGTTTACTGTATTAGTCTCTATACTTTTTTTATGCTTGGAAATGTTTATAATAATTTTTTTTAAAGATCTGATTTTAGAGCTGAAAGGGACTTAGAAACCATCTAATATTGGATATTTACTGAGCAGATACAGAGATACACTGGTATACCAGAAAGACACGTTCTATACACCCTTTGAGCATACATTCTACTGGAAAGAGGCCAAATTAAAAAATAAGCACATAAATATACAAAAACAGATATTAATAAGGACCACACAGAGGATTTTATGTCACTTGAGGATGAAGCAAATGAGGCGAAGAAAATTAAGTGATTTTCCCGCGGTGCAAACCAGTTCTAGGAACTTGCCTTCCCTCTTTGCCTTCCCACATACTTCTCTTTTCCCGTGGTCACTTACTAACTTAATATTACTCTAATTATTGGTGGTGTCGGGCATAAATTCACTGACAATGCCTCAGCTGTTTTGTAGCCTCTTCTAATTTATCACAAATTTACCAACCTTAGCTAAATAAGCCTTAAAATTATTGGAATATTTTGAACGTGACATTAAATTTACACAACTCTCTTTTTAGGCAGATCAGCATTATTTTCATGTCACCAGTGAAGAAAGAGATGAATAGTGGAGTAGTAGGGGGGTGAAATTAACTGCCTTAGGCTCCGTGGGAAATGAGAGACAGCTTCTGGATCAGAATTCAGAACTCTGACTAATCTAGTGCAAAATCTTGAGTGAATTTCTTTCTGATATTTCCTTTCAGGTTAATGTGCCTCACTTTCACACATTCCTGTAAAGCCAACACTACTCTTGAAAATTGTAAGAAGAAGGCGCACCATGCTAATATTTTTGTCAGCTCAAAAATTTGAGCTTGTTTTTCATCTTCAAAGTTGCAAATCTATTGATAAAAATGTTTCATGTAAGCTTTTGTGTCCCTCGAAGTGTGCAAATCCTTCTCTCCAGATAGGTTCAATGAGTGTTCAGGAAAATAATTCCCCAGACGGCAACTATTCTATTCAGAGCTTCAAAGACAGATTTCAGGTGAGCTTTCATCCACTGTTGGCAAGTAGAGGGAGTGGAAGAACAGAATGATTATGGTGCCCTAATCTACCCTACATGGTGTTAAGACATCCATTCCACTTACAAAATTCCAGCATTTATAAAATTTCTATTAAAGTAGTTATCTTCATTTCTATTATTAAAATAATTATTTTAATGTTATGATAGCCAAAGGTGATTGTTTCAGCTTCTTCTTTCTGTATTCATTAAAAAAAAAACCCTGTCCCTTATAGAAGTTAACTCTTTATGCAGAAAATTATTCTGAGCAGAATTTAAATATTCCACATCAGAAGGTAGTATGGTCTTACACTGTTGCTTCCCAAGAGGCTATCAGCAGACTTTACCCCTGTCACTACATACTTCCCTACAAAGCTGATTATAGGTTTATGTTGTAAGTGCTCAATATTGACTGGTACAGGAACACTCCAGAATTACTTATTATCTTAATTTTCCAATGAATTCTTTCTTCCCTTGGCTGATGTGTGAAGCTAGGCTTCTAAGGACTTCTTCAGTGTCCTTATTAAGAACATCTGTAAAGAACATCAGAATGAAGTGTTGAATTTCACCCATTTGGATTTCATTAAAGTGTCTATAGTTGTCAAGCATTTAGAAAGTCAAGACACTAAGAGTTTGGGGTTTGACCCAAAGGAAATTGGTCTTCATTTTAAGGCTAAACAGGAGGGATAACTGAGCCAAAGTTTTTTAGGGAGATTAAAAAAAAAATCATTCCTTTCAGATACATGCCCTTAAAGAATGAAAGCTTAAACAATCATACTTTCTAATGGCAAGTTTTCCATCTTGTCAAAGCAAAGTGTGGGTTTATTGCCGAGGTTCTTAACCCAGAGTTCATGGACTTCTAGTGGGTCCACAGGCAGACCTCAGAGAGTCCATAAACTGTGAAATTGTAAGCAAAATTTCATGTGCAAATACACATACATACTTTTTTTTTCCTAGGAAAAGTAAGCTGTAGCTTTCGTCAGATTTTCAGCGACATCTGTGATTCAAAAATGTTTTAAAATGTTGGTTTATTTTCTTACATATTTAGATATCTTAAAATTGTCAAAGTATCTGAATGTGCAAAGTTTAAAAAGTTTCTCTTTTTACTAAGAGTACATAATGTACATTAATGTATATAACTTTTAAAATGTTAAAAGGGTAAACTAATTTTTAAATTAACAAATGACCAGGATTTTGGTAATTTTTGAAATCTCGATTATGACTAAATTCACCAACGTATATACTCTGATCCAACCAGGTTTAACAAAAGTAACCTGACTGATTATTTGGAATAAATAACAAAAAAAGTGTAATTTGGTTGAAAAGTGAAAATACGTTATATTGGTAGTACAAAGGGATAAAAAAACAAAGGATCTTGAAATGTTCCCCATTACATTAGTAGGAACAATAATATTTATTTGGTTAATTAATTAATTATGCCTTAGAGTAAAGTGGCATAAATTAATTTATAATGTGACTCAAATCCACTTTGAGTAAAAACAGCAATTTCACTTCATAAAAAACACTAAGTACAACAGATTCTGATGTGAAAAATCTACTGGCTATTTTTAAGTTTTGGAACATTTAAAATGAATACAAAATAATCTGGTCATCATTACATTAATTTTAGTTACATTTATGTTTGGAACAGTTGGTAAAATTTAAGAGGTCATATTTTAAGTTCAAATACAAGACATTATTCCTTCTCTGCATGTGATTTTTTAAAAAGCATTGTTTTAACTGGATCCTATAATTACATTTGGCTTTAAAAAGTGATTATTTAGGATACATTGAACTAACAACATTTTTTTCAATGTGGTTTTCCTGGTGAATCATCTATTTTTAGGCTGGACTGAAAACACAAAATGCAGAAACATAGCATGAAACTTTGATTCACAGGCTATCTGCCACTTGTCTCTGTTTTGTATTGCAAAAATGTATATGTTATTTTTCTCCCTTGAGTTAAACTTCAGATATCAGTCTACTTTGATTGATCTTTGTTCCTTGTGCAGCAAGACTTCTTTGGTCACCTTCTCGAATTACCGATCCTCTTAGATAGTTCTTTAGCTTATTATATGTGAAGCTGGTTTATTTCCAAATTAACTTGGCTAGTCTCTTAATCTTTCCCATCCTCTCTCAAAAGCCCTGATCAGTCCTCCTGATATTCACCAAACCAGACTTAGTTTCCTGGCTTCACACTCCCCTCCCTGCCTTGCACTATCTGGATATATATGCTGTATATCATCAATCTTTCTTTTCTTAAATTTTTTCAAATGCTTTTATTCTCTCCTCAAACTTTGTCTTTCTAACTTTGACTCAAAATATTTTCTTCTTTTTAATCTGTCTTAAAAACATACTTAACTTTAAATATTAGTGAAACATGGGCTCTTGAAGAGTTGCTTAATTGTTTTAAAGTTAAAGCTTTTTCTGTTCTTTGGCATCAAGTTTATTTCTTACTGTTTAAATAAGGTTAAGAATCAGTAAAGGTTATAGTATATGAATTATATCTAAATAAAGCTAGTATTTAAACAGTGAAACAGAGAAACAGTGAGGCAAAGAAAAAACCCAATAAAGTAAAGGAGTTTACATGAAAGTGTTTTGAAAGATATAAATTGCCATATGGACCCTGGATATTTATCATAGTTTAATTACTATTACATGCACTGTTTAGCTTTACAAAGTCTCTGAAGCCTTCCTATAAACTAATAACTTAAACTCCTCTGCTAATTTACTGTCCTAGAACTATTTATCAAAATACAAGCTATGTGAAAGCTTCTAGCACAATGGTTGGCATATAGTAAGTGTCCAAAAAATGGTAAAAAACAGAACAGTTAAAGTACAATTAATAGAGTCAAATAATATATATTAGTATATGATTTAGACACTAGAAGAATTTAACCTACGCCTAAATAGTCAGAGGCCAATTTAAAGTTATATAAAAAATTTATTCTTTGATATTAGAAATAATATATGCTGTTACACAAGAAACAGGGTTGGAAAACATTAGAGTAAGAATTCATTTTTCAGACACTAAAAATAGATTTACCATAGGATCCAGCAATCCCACTCCTGGGCATATCATATATCCAGAGGGAACCCTAATTCAAAAAGATACATGAACACCAATGTCATAGCAGCACTACTTACAATATCCAAGACACGGAAACAACCTAAATGTCCATTGACAGATGACTGGATAAAGAAGCTGTGGTATATTTATACAATGGAATGCTATTCAGCCATAAAAAAGAATAAAATAATGCCATTTGCAGCAACAATGGATGGACCTGGAGATTGTCATTCTAAGTGAAGTAACCAGAAAGAGGAAGAAAAATATCATATGATATCACTCATATATGGAATCTAAAAAAAAAGACAAACTTATTTACAAAACAGAAACAAACTCACAGACATAGAAAACAAACTTATAGTTACCAGTGGGGACAGGAGTGGGAAGGGATAAACTGAGAGTTCGAGATCTGCAGATACTAACTAATATACATAAAATAGATAAACAACAAGTTTATATTGTATAGCACAGGGAACTATATTCAATATCTATAATGAAAAAGAATATGAAAATGAATATATGTATGTTCATGTATGACTGAAGCATTATGCTGTACACCAGAAATTGACACAACATTGTAAACTGACTATACTTCAATAAGAATATATACACAAAAAACAGAAAAAAAGAATTCATTTTTCAGGCCTTTCTTAGAAGATAGTTATTAAACATCAGTTGAAAATTGGTTGTGCAGAGTAATATGATTCTCAATCAGCTTTCTTCTCATTACGGTGACTAAAAGGGATTTATTCCAACATGATTCCTCCTTTTGAAAACAGAGAGCTACTTTTTAAATTTTTAAATTAAAATATGCAAAAGTGAATATGCAGTTCAAGATGTTTTAGTTGCTCTGGAGGTGTTTTGTTTTCCAATCCCAGATCTCTCTTAGGTTCTCAGTACCAATGAAGAAAGAAACATTTCTTATCAAAGAAGTTAAGGGCCAGAAGTTAAGGGCACCAATTTGCTAGTCAGGACAGCTAACATATTTTCAAAGCTATGGTCTTCATTATGCTTCAAAAATAGAAATGTCTTTGGATTTGAAGGAACTTTAGAAATGTCTCTGTCCATTCCTCACGTAGTATTACTAATGGGAAGAGCACACACAATTTTTCGAAGCCACAGGGTTCATTGTTAGATAATTCTGAATGTTAGAGAAGTCTTATGCTCAAGTCAAAAATCTACCTCCTTGCACCTTCCAAAGATTGGTCTCAGTCCTGTCCTCTACTTTCTCTAAGCTGTAAACTTAGGGGAGAGGGAGGAGAATTCCTCTTATATAAACAGATGCGATATTTGAGTTACACTTTGTAAAAAGTTTAGAATTGTTAGGAAATGGTGTCACCACACCATCAGGTCCTCAGAAAAAATACATTGCTTATTCTTCTTTACGTAGCTTCTGGACTAGGAAGTTTTCATCTCTCTCATCCAAATATGTCAATGAATTTAGCAAATTTTCAGTCTTCCTGGAAGATCTGTCAACAAGTACCTTCTAATGGGAGGAGGGAGAAGGAATTCGAAGCTTGGTTGTTTTATTTCCTCCTCTGGTGGTATGGTAGGAAGGAGGATTAACTGGTTAGAGCTGAATCCTTACTGGGTATGAATCATTTAAATCCCTGGCCCAGATTAACTGAATGATCCTAGCACTGAGCACACAGTTCGTCAAGAGCACTTGTATCACACTGACTTGCCTGACAGCTAATCTGTTTGCACCTCCTACATATTTAATGAGGAGGTTCCATTGTCCTCCTCTTGCAAGTTCTAACTTGCTATATTCCTATCTTGATTTAAAAGGGCCCGAATTGCTTGATAATGTCTCAAGTTGCTAAAGGCCACAGCTTCTTCATTTAAACACACACACACACACACACACACACACACACACAAAGAGTAATTATTACAGATCAGGCAGCAGGACTCAGAGTCTACACCTGGCTGGCCAAGGTTTGTCTCTTCTTCATGTATTAATCCATCCAAATAATAACTTCAAAAATAGTAAGAAAAAATGAGTCACTCTGGTACCAAGCCTGAGATAATGTATATCAGCTTTGATCCCATGCTCTGAGGTTTGGGAAAATGAATTATTATAAACTGGGTGTCATCCTCAGCTCTTCCCTGGAAACACTTTTCTTAAATGTTGCTTTTGATCATATTTTTAAGATGTAATTAAGGATTCCTTTCCCCTAGTCATGTTTTCTCTCTTGAGCTAAAACCTTATGGAAACAATCCAATGGAATTATACAGCTATGGTTCCACTCACAAGAGCTCTTGGTAGTGATTAAGTTTGCCTGGACAAAAGAATATGGAATAGGTGTTTGCCTAGTGGGTGTGTCAATGGTGTGTGGGGGGGTCCTTTTTATTTTTCTACAACCTGATGTCCTACGAAGATTCCTAAGACATATCTGCAACCAAGAAATTACTCTGATTGAATTTATATTTTTTCCCAATATTTCTCATTCATTTGATAGCCATTCAACAAATATTTAAGTATTTCTATGTGTCAGGCACTGTATTAATCTAGTATGAGAGACAAATACAGAAAAGAAAAAACATGAATAAATAAATGTTATGATCCAAGTCTATGTCGGTGTCTATGGCAACATGCAGAGGATTCCCCAGTCAGTGAGGGAGGAAGGGAGGGGATAAGGGATACTCACTGGAGGAGGTGAATGTGATTTCATTGAAGAGGGGGCATTTAAAGGGAAGTATGCTATTCCAGTAATAAAATAGTAATGGCAAATACTACTTTCTTTTAAAGCACAATCCATGACATAAGCATCTCTTTAGACTCTGTGGGACAAAAAGAATTTTGTAGTCAAGTACATCAGAAAATCACAATGCACATTAACAGTTAATGTCACTAAGGAGCCCTGAGTAACAAAGTATAACCCAGCGTTTCCCATACTGCACTGACAACTACTCTCCTCTTTTTTTTGTTGGGGGGAGACCTGTTCCAACCTGATAGATGCTGTTAAAATTCTTAACCTGAAGAGGATAATTTCAGATGAAAAACATCCACTGTGAATGAAACACATTTCGGCTTTTCTATGTTTCACTGGTAACTATTACCATAAAAATGGTTCACAGAGATGGGCAAATTGGGCCACAACTTGGAATCTCTTGCTTACTGAGGCTCTGTGCCTAGCCCTCAAAAAAATCTGCATAGAATCCCTACCTTAGAGGTAAATCAACTGGAGCCGTAGGGCAGAATATGTCTCTACATTCCTTGAAACAAGTGTGAAGAAACAAATAAAAGAACTGCCATTATGAATTGTACTAAAACCATGATCAAAAGTCTCTATACTTTGAAATATCTAATCATATTACAGGATTAAAAACACATGAGTGAACACTAACCAATAATGTATTCATTTCTATATCTACTTACATCTTCTATTTCTGAAAACTTAAATATATGGTTCTTTCTCAATTATAGTGAAAAAATCTTTTTCTGACTTTCAATCTGGTTGGTCCCTCTGGCTTATATGTCTTGTTGTTATACTTGGATTATAGTCAGTTTCTGGCTTTATTCAAACTCACTTTTCAGAGTGACATTTGAGTAGAAGAAGGGGTATGAAATATGAACATTGGGCTTATTTTGTCATGTTCTAATAAGTCTCTACTGTTGAGGCCATGGTGTAAGGCATACTCCTAGAGACAGATGTGATCCTCTCTGAAGAAACTGGGCATCCCTGTATCAGTCATCTGGGGTTGGGGTGGGGGTTCCCCAGACAGGTATCAAGATCTTGGAAGGTGGGTCTTGGACTTAAGTGAGAGCTCCTGACTTCTTGTGGGATCACATTCTTTCTGGACTTTTAGGTACACTGACTATTTGGTGACACTCCCTGGTGGTATGGAAAGATGGCATCTCTTCTTCTTCAACCTGGGCAGGAAGGCAGTAGCCCTGTTAGGGGATCCTGACACGAAGTGATATGCTTTCAGATTATCAAGCTTTATTTTGCTCTCAGTGTTCTTTCCCGTCTAGCTATGCCCAGATCTTTAGTAAAGCCTTATAATAGTTTAGCCTGGCTCAGGTCTCAGTTGTGCACTAAGGACCTTAGGTAAGAATTTGGAGTCCATTTTTGGGCTAAGGAGCTAAAGAAGAGACAGTAATGTGTTAACATAGTTATATGGGGTTATGGTTATTAATAAGGATAGTAACTATCTAGTATCAAGTACCCACTCCATGCCAGGCTTTTTTACATACACTAGTTTGTCTAGTCTTCACAACAATCCTCAGAGGTAGGTTCTGTTTGTGTCCTATTTCGTGAATGAGGAAATCGAGACTCAGAGCATTTACACATTTGCAAACATCCCAGGAGGTGGGGTTTCAGTCTAAGTTTCATCTGACTCCAGAGGCTGAACATACGCTAGTCAAATTATTTAACTTTTTAGAACTTAAGTTTTTTTGTTCGAAAACATCTACCTTCTAGGACTGCCATAAGAATTCAGTGAAATAATATGCATAAAGATCCCAGGCCATTGCCTAGAAGATAACAGGTATCCCCTAAATGGTGCTTGTTATGTTTTCCTTCTGACGTTTGAATATTCCTTCTTAATACCATTCAAGGCTTCCTCTTCCTCTGACGGTCGGCTAAATTGGTGTTCCCTAAATTAATATTTTTTAACTAAGTACTCTCCTTGAGCGACTTCACCAAACCCAGGGCTTCAGCTACTATTTTTATGCTGATGACTTTGAAGTCTTTACCTTCAGCCCAGATCACTGCAGGATTCCAGACCCAGATATCCATTCATCTGATATCTCCACTTAGATGTCTCATAGACATATCAAATTCAACATGTCCCAAGCTGAACACATCATCTTTCAGTTTCAATCCTGGTTTCTCTCTCAGTGTGGTGTCATCAAATCTCCAGATATCTAACCTACAAGCCTGGAAATCTTTCTCTACTCCTCGTTCTCACTCATCCCTCAATTAGTCATCAGGTTCTCTCAAGACCCTTTTTATTATCTCTTGTATCAGTCCCTTTCTCCCTGTCCTCCCTCAATTTCATTTCTACAGCCACAATTACTGCCTGAATTCAGACTCTCATCACTTCCATCAGGCATTGCTGCAATAGTCTCCTAACTGGTTTTTCTACAATCTACCCAACCTCCTGTGTGTCCTCAATATTCCCGACAAAATAATCCTTCTAAAAAGCAAATGGTATCATTTATTTCCCACTTAAAATCTTTCAAAAGCTTCTCATAGCTTTCAGGACAAAGTGCAAATTCAATACACAAAACCCTTTAAGATATAGCCTCTTCCTGCTTCTTTAGCTGTATTTCCCACTATTCCTTCATTTTTCATCTTTACCATTAATATCTGCTTTAAAGAATTACTTGAACTTCTCTAAATGAAGCTATTTCTAGCCTTGGGCCTTCAGGCATGTTCTCTGGATGCCCACCCATGCCCCTCTCCCCCACCAACACCCCCTTGCCAAACTGCCCCCTTTCAACTCTTTCCTTAAAGCTCAGCTTAAGAGACACTTCTTTGGAGAGCTTTTCCTTGATCTTGGCAATGGTGTTTCTTCTTAATGCCCCCACTACACCCATGCATTGCTATGTAACAGCATTTTTCATACCACTCATCTCTTTCACTAGTTTGTAAATTGGACCCCAAAGTTTTATCAATATAGGGTCGCCAGCACCTAACCGCTTGTGCCGAGCTCATAACAGATGCAGGCTGTTGGTTTATGAAGGAGTGACTTCAGAAGGAGTTTTCAACCCTTGGCTAAATGGTGTCTACACCTAAGAAGCTAAAGGAAGGCGGGGCTTTGAATTAAGACACCATGTGCTGGAGATTCCTTAAACCTCATTTCTTTCGTCCCCACCCAGTTCTTTCTTCTCAGTTTTACTTATGGCCAGGTTCTACCACTCACTCTAGGAACATTAAGACTCAACAGCCTTTAGACATACACTATGGAACAAGCAATTAAGATGCAGAGAACTCCATCTGACAGCCTAGGGAGATGAGATAGTATGATTGGGATCTACCAAGCCAATATACACCCTGCCCTGTACAAACCTGAGCCTCAGTGCTCCTTGGTACACCTGAACCAGAGGCTGAGCCCCACGGGGCTAGGTTCCCCTTTATTTTCACTAAAGAAATTGGATACTTCTAAAATGATTGTTATAACGTTCATTGATCTCTTTACTTTCTTTTTCTTTCTCCATATTTTCAGACTTCTCTGAATGGTTTCTCCTTTTTAATTTGAAGCTGTTTCTCACATCTCCTCTGAATGTAATAGAGAGAAGAAGGGTTAAAAAGAAGAGAAGAAAACCAACTAATTCAAATGGTTCTCGAATTTTTAAAACAGCCTCCTCATGGAGGAGAGTCTCTGAGTTGGAAAAAGAGCATAGGAATCATATACCTTACCCAACAACTTTATCTAGTAAATGGTGAAATGAAAGGAAAGAGGGAGTTAATGACTTGCACAAAGACACTAACCCAGTTGAGACCAAGAGTAGTACTGTGGCCCTAAGTCCCCCAAATTCCAATTTTGGCAATCTCTTTTTCCTTGAAGACTTTGCTCTTGTGCTCGCAGCTAATACATTTCTGTTTATGCAAGAATATATAATATATAATATGTATACATACATACATACAAACACACTAACGGAGCAAAAAGAAGCCACGCGGTAGACGCTCAAAGTTCGGTGGTGGCTCTCTCTACCTTGCCTCTGGGAGAGCACGAAAGGTTGCCAAGGGGCTCCAGGCTCGAGGTTACCGGGAGCCTGGGGCCAGATACAGTCACTGTTCCCCTCGGGTCTTTCTCGAAAGAGTGAGATGCAGCAGCACCGTCTGCGGAACCTGGAGGCGCGTCCTTCTCGGGTGTCCGGTGCGAGACAACTTACAGGAACTGGTCAGGAAGAGTCTGCGGAGAGCTGGGCTGGCCTCACCTTTGGGCGCCAGCTCTCAGCTTCGGGACTCGGGCAGGGGCTGGAGCCGGGGTCTGGGCGCTTCTGCCGTCGGGGCGGAGGGACCCGCGGGCGTGCCCGGCTCGAGGGTGGGGTTTTTTACGAGCCTGGACTCGCGCCCCCGGGATCTCACTGCCCCGCGCGCCACAGACGAGAGGCAGCCCCGGCCCTGATGTGAGTCCCCAGAGCCTGGGCAGTGCCCACGTCAGAGATCAAAAGAACGGATGGTCTTGTGTTATAACCGAAGTAAAACTCTTCGGTTTCACTGATGGCCAACGAGGACCTTCGCCTTTATCAACGGCGGAAAACTGCGTAAGGAGATCCATTTCCTTTCCTTTTAAGAGGTTTTTCACTATTTATGCAGCGCTCCTGGTGTACCAGAAACTGTATTATGTGCTGTAGTGAAAAAGATGAAAATGGCCTCATATCCGGGGACAGTTTATTTACATATAAACTAAAAATCATTAGGTTATAAGGTGGTGAGGGCCGAATAGGCCTAAGGCGGGTGTGTGTGGTGGGGGGGGAGGGGAGGTGGGAAACGCAGGTGAGAGACGAATGAGAGAGCAGGTGGGGAAAGCAGGGGAAGAGGAAGAGGGTGGCAGAGGAGAGGGTTTCAGAGGGGAGAACTAGAGGCGGAGAGGGGAGAGGGTTTGGGGGAGGATGGGAGAGGGAGGAAAGGGAGATCGGGGAAAGGGAAAGGGGGAGAGGAGTGAGGGCGAGTTGGAAAACAGGGCCGGGTCGGGGAAGGACCAACCCGAGAGCCTTGATAGGCGGGGCGGGGTGGGGGCGGCTAGGTGGGGAGGGAGGGGCCCAGTTTGTGTCCAGGAGGCCTCTCTTCAGTGCCTTCTTCCATTAGCAAAGTCTCTCAGGCCTCCAAACTCGCTCCCGGGAAACCTCCCTGCCTCGCCAAGCGCCATCTGGCTCCGTGACCACCGCTCACACCGCGGCCTCTGAGGCCAGAGATGCGCGCGCGCCCCACTCGCCAGCCCACGCCGAATGCGGGGCCCGACGGCCTCGGTCTGAACCAACCAGTCACCCTCCTCGACGGCCCTTCTCCCCGCGCGCAGGCCCGAAGCCAGGTGGGCGCGAGCCGAGCGAGGCCCCGCGCGTCTAGGAGCGCTGGTGCCCGCGTCTCTTGCGCCCTGACAGCAGGGCAGGGAGGGAACTCCTGTGGCGATCCAGGCGCCGGCCCAGATCTGGGAGAAACGCTTAAACCAGGGGACGTGCCCCCCAGGAGACAGGCCCACGCGCGGTTCTCCTCAGTTAACGCTTATTTGAGCTACTTCTGTGCGTTTACGCGTTGATACGCGCACTGAGGGAGTCAAAGGGGACGCGCCCGTCAGGGCCGGGGATGAGGGGGCGGGAAAGTCGAAGAGCTAAGGCTCGGGCAGGAATAGAGACTGCTCGCGGCAGCGAGGGCTCGCGCCCCACGAGGGAGCAAGCGGCGGTCGGGAGCTGTGGGCGCAGAAGGGAGGCCGGCGCGCGGTCCAAGCAGGGTAGAGCGCGGGGCCGGCCGCGGACGGCCAGCAC